GCCCGCGCGCTGTCAGAGAATCCCACCTCCCCGTGCGTCAACCTACGGCCGAACTGGTTGACCCACTTGGTCAACTCGCAAGCTTTCGCCAACGGAGTGGCGGATTCTCCGCCAGCGGGTGCACTTGGGACGGCCAGTGCCGCGACCCCTATCCCCGCGCCCGCCACGCGAACCTGTTCTACCCCCATGACTATTACGCCCAGGACCGCTTCCGCGTCCCGTCTGCCTAGGGGCCCCAGCAACAGCTGCAGCGAGACGAGGACCGGGGTCCACGCGCGCCCGCTTGACTGGAGGCCCATCTTCGTCATAATCCTGCAAAACAACAGAATTAGAACGAAGAGCAGAACGGACTTTTCGTTCAGACAGGGCGCGCACTTCCTGGCCCAAGGCATGCTGTACCAGGGCGTCGTAAGAGGGAAACGGCTTTCCATAGACGTCTGTGGCGCAATGGGGCTGCAGGGAAGAAGAAAGGCCTTCGAAAAACCAAAACATACGCTCACTAGGAGTGATCGTGGGTATGTCTTGGAAGACGGCCTCAAGACGCGAAAGGTAAGCTGGTACACTTTCACTAGCACGCATCGCAAAAGATTTTTCAGAGAGCCTACGTCGTGCTTCTTGTTCTACAGAGATAACTTGAGGAGCGAAACGCGTACGCAGGTTATCCAGAACAAGCTGAGCAGTGAGTTCGCGCTGCGATAGGGACCACTCATCATACCACGTTTTTGCAGCGCCACGGAGCGCTTGCGACAAAAACAGGCAGCAAGAACGATGGTCCCTACCCCAGGGCACGATTTCGAAAAACAAAGACGCGTCACGAATAAACGCCTTGACGCGGGCAGCAGTCTGCTTCGCATCAAGCTTGGCATCTAGCTGCAAAACAGGAGTCGGTAAACTAACCCGAGGAAGGTCGGCAGAAGAAATCGGCCGAACCGAAGGCAAAGGCTCTGGCTCGGCTGCGGCTGCCGCCGCAACCGCAGCCCCAGCAGCAGCAGCCGCTTCCACCGCTAACGCACGCGCAGCCGCAGCACGGTGGTCCGCATCTGTCGTCGGGGTTTCTGGTATCACCGTTGGAACATCCGGACGATTCATGTGAGTATTAGGCGGGTTGCGCAGAGCAAAAGGGGCCAAAGAAGGCAAGGAGTGGAGACGTTCGTCACCAGTAGGGCCAAGTGGCCTTAAACGAACATTCTCGGCAGCCCCAGTGGGCATATGCAACAAAGGTGCTGCAGCAAAAGTTGAGAATGGCGTTCGCGCATCAGGTTCGCGAACAGCAACAGGGACCTCAATAGGGCCGCCCGGACCTCTAGAAGTACTAGGTGCACCGGGGTCGGAAACAAGTCCCGCAACAGCGTAGGCAGGCAAAGTGGAACGAGCATCAGGTGCGCCCGACGCCATGTCTACGCCATTACGGTCGCCACCCAAATTAAACGGGGCGGGGCTAAACATTTTAGCTAACTGAGAAGGGCCTACCCTAATACAGCAATGACGCAGTCACTGCCGCGGATAGGGGGAGAGCTTGAAGTAGCGGCTCTACCTCAGTCGGGTCCAGCACACCCGTTCTAACCTCTGCAACAACAATGAGCGAGGCAACCAAGGACAAAACAATACAGATGATTACGATCTTTCACTTACCCAGAAGAGCCGCCGCGAGCGCTCCAACACTGTAAGCCTATGACCTTTACTAACAATCGAGATGGGTGCGGAAGAGCTGGTCGAGACCGAACGTCTCGATACCACTTGTTGTATCCACCTCCACTGTTTAGGTGGTAGTGAAAACTACCGATTAGTGAATGAGAAGAGGCTAAATGCCTCTGCGTTAGGACGACCCGTACAGAAGTCTGTACGGTCCGAAGATATAGTCGTCAACGCGAATTATCACCAATCGGTGCAATCGTAACCCAAGTGGGTCTACCAGTGACAAGTGTCACGATTATAGCAAGAGCGCTATAATCCAGTATCACGCGTGATGAAGACAGGCAAGTGCCCGCTTAAAGGTGGGCCAGCGCCCAATTAAAGATAGGCAAGTGCCCAATGGTTAACCAAGTAAGAGCGAAGATATTGCCCAGCGGCAAAGTGCCAGAGAATTGGGGAAAGATCCGAGGGTTAATATGCAGGTGTGCCACAACAGCGACGGTGGCGGCAAGTGCCGCCTTGCAAGTGCTGCCGCCGCCGCCGCCGCCAGCCATCGCTGCTGGTGCCACATACTTACACTTCACGTACATCGATGCCCCAGTCATCATGAATAATGTATGTGTTGAGTGAGCAATTATGGTTCTTTTTATTGAACAGGCCCAAGAATCAAGTAAATGGCGAACGGGCGTATTACTATTACTAGCTAATACTAGCTAATACTAGCTAATACTAGCTAATACTAGCTAATACTAGCTGATATCGTCGTCTGCGAATGAAATTTATTATTGTCCAGCGGGAGAGAGTGTGTGTCGTTGTTACGCATGCAATCAAGGCCAGCCGTACACACGCGCACGCGCACTAATTGCAGTTGAATGCGGTTTGGCTCGAGCGGGAGCGCGGCCAGCAATGTCAAGTCTCAACCCCAAGCTGGCAATACGCGAGGTCGCGTTCCAAAAGTGCTCTTTTTTCCCCTTCACGGAATTCAACGCCATAAGGTACGTCTGGTGTAGTACAGGTTGGCGTGCCGTACGTTGGTGTAGCTTCTTGCTAGATGGTTTTACTTGGGCCAGCTGCTGGCTTGCTGAGGAGCGAGTGCCAGCAGCATGCAGGTGTACACGGATTGCTGCTGGCTTCGCCCACCAACACCAACAAGTTAGTAGTTGCACTACTACTATATATATACTCATACTATATATGTATATACTCATACTTGTATGAGAGTAGTCGAATGAGCAGTAGTAGTAGTGTAGTAGTGTAGTATTATAGGAGTGTAGGAGTGTAGGAGTAGGAGTAGCAGTTTCTCCCCCAATAAAATCACAACTTGGATGCATCACCATCTATGCAACCAACTACTTTTGGCCAGCCAGGTGGTCCGGCCGAGCCCGCCTGGAGTGGAGCAAGGGGCTCCGAGATGCGCTAGACATGATCCAGTACGGCAACCAGGTTTACCCCAAGGGCTGGCAGCCACCCGCACCGGACCCCATCAGCCCCCGGCCCTTCCTTCCGGACACACTGAAGCGCCTCACCATCAGGCGCACCTACGATGCCGGCCACCCTCGAGGGGCCTGGGCGGGCAAGCCGGTGATCAAGGGGTTCCTGCCAGCGGAATGGGCTCTGCTGAGAAACCTGGAATATCTGTAAGTACTGGTGCCGTGTCCGCCGTGGCATGCTTCGTACATGTGTACAACAGCGTACGTCAGCCTTGCTTACCTTGCTGGAGCTTCCATACACATACACTGGTATGGTGTATGTATGTATGTATGTATGTGTGCTGCTGCTGCTGCTGCGAGGTTGGCTGCTGCTGTGCATCAATTGTGCACGAACAGTACCCGGTACCGGTATGGTAGCACCGGTAGCACCCGACAAAATCGTTGTGGTTTCCAAAAGCCCCACAGGCTGCCAAGGCCCGTTGAGCCCCCTTAGATAGGCCCTTAAATGGTCTGTTTAGCCCAGTATGTTGGAAGGCCCAGTATGTTGGTAGGGGCAGTGGCTTCAGCAGTGGCTTAGGGTTATAAGCCCAAAAACCCTACATCTGTGCGTATGTATGTATGTATGGTCCTGCATGCAGGGACCTAAGCGATGACATGGGTCAGGGTCAAATCGAGGGCCCCATTCCCAGCACCTGGCTGATGATGACCAAGCTAAGGGTAATGTGTGTATACATACTTACATACATACGTAAAGGGGGATGCATCTGCAGCAATGGCGGCAGCCAGGAATAGAGGACTTGAAAGACAGGGGAGTAACGAGAACAGATAGAGGCGCTACTAGGTGATATGTTTGTATGTATGTATGTACATACGTGGTTGCAAAAGAGCGCGCTGGCCTCAGGCTGGCTTATAATTACCGGGACAAGAATTTGAACTGCTGGAATATTTATTATCTGCTATGATCTATAATAACGCTTATTACTTGCTCTTCATGCAGTTCTTCATGCACGCACACCCAGGCCTCTGCTATGCACGACACACAATCCTAACCTTAATGCTAATTAGGTTGTTGTGTTATAACACAACACTATCCTGTATGTATGTATGTAGTAGCTGACCGCTGAAAAGGCCTCTATAGATGCTGGCGGAGCATGAGCGCGTATTTATCGGCGATATGTGTGCCGTACTATGCCGTACATACAGCTATGACATTTTGTAAATAGCAACTTGGCTGCCAGCAACCGAAAAGGCCCCTGGAGGTGCTGCTGGGAATGCGCTTGTATGCGCATACATGGCGCTAATCCATACATTAGCGCTGTATGTAGTGCGGTTATGCCGTACTGTACGACAGATAGTACACTGGGACAGTCGAGCACGACAACGTACATATAATCACCATCAACACACACGTGGCTTTTCCACGGGCTCTCGTTCCCCGCCCCTCCCTGGTTCCGTGTTCGGCAGCAATTTGACAGGCCACCCGAACTTCTGCAAGGACTGGCATAGGTAAGAAGCGGGTTCAGCCGCTGACGAATGTCGTACATATATTGCTGACATGCATACAGCTGCACATGCATGTATGTGAAGTATCCTGGGGGGAATATCACGAGATCTGCATCCGCCGATCGGGGTTACTTTTCTGGAATTGTGATATAACATGGGAATCCCATGATGGGATGTCTTCATCGCCAAGCGTGAATAATACAAGCCACCCACCGGCGATTTGTATGCAGGCGCCAAATTTGTTTTTAAAAACTTCTACATACAGACAGACGCTGCGGCGTCCACATATCATAATCACACGCTCACACGTGTGTGCGTGTGCGTGTGTCTCGACACAGAGACGTCTCACACATCTTATTTTTCTATCACACCAATGTTACCGCCGCTACCGCCATGACTCCGTCCCCACGTACACATGCACACATGCACGCACGCACAGGCTTGTGTCTTACAAGTTAAGCCGCTTCTGCTGGTATACATTTCGCCTACTGTATAAGTTACGGAAGGTGGGCATCTGGAACCCGCTGAGGGCCCTATGCGCCAACAGTGTTGGCTGGATGGATACCAGGCAGTACTACGGGGACCTGCTTGCGGCAAACGGCTCATGGCTCTTCAACATCGATGGGGCTGGATGGCAGTGGTACGACAGGACCACAGGTGAAGGTGAGAGGTATTATACCGTCGATCTAGATCTAGTGCACGTACGCGCACGCACCTTTATCTCACTATTAGTTTGTCACTCCATATGCATATGGGGGGAGTGACGGATTTGGATTGCGTGGGGACGGTTTAATGTGGTAGCTATACACTGTGTCTAGCTAGCTATCATCCTTGGCTATGGTATTATAGCCAGGGGATTCGAAGTGATGTTATTATTATTGGGGTGGGGGGGACAGACAGACCTGGGGGTAAATTTGGTGAGGTGAGCAATTGCATATCATACACCCGGAGAGGGGTCGGGATTATTAGGGGGGCTGCATTCCTTGCTTGTCTGCTTGTCTGCTATTTGTCCTGCTTTCTTACTGCTTTTCCTGTGCGTTGTTATCTACATGGTTGCACTGCAGTTGGCTACACCAATGTCATTGCACCGGACGGCAAGTGCTGTTGGGACACATTCAGCGGTGAATTTCTGAACCGCACAATCCGGGGGCCTCCCAACGTATCCGTCGGGCAGGAGGATACATCTGCAACCTTGTACTACGACATGGAGATCTGCGAGAGGCGCAGACCCCTCGTCTTCGGGGTCGCACGCAAAGCCACCGACCCCAGGCCGAATCTCCCGCCGGCAGCCCGCAGCCCACCAGACATACCCTCCACACCGCCCTTCCCGCCGGCTGGCGTTCTGGGTGCCTCCCGGAACCCGGCGCGGCCCCCGGTGTTTCCCCCCTTGCCGCGGGTCTCCCCTCTGTTGCCCAATGCCCCGCCCCAACCTCCAAGCAGACCACTCTACCCGCTGAGATGGGCAGGTGCGTGGCCAAGACGACCAAACCTCCCACCACCTAGCCCGATTCCTTCGCCGCCAAGTCCCCCATCACCTCCCCCATTACCCAGTCCACCGTCCCCACGTCCTTCACCGCCGCCACCATCCCGTCCTCCCCTTCCACCATCACCCCATCCATCACCCCCACCATCACCCAAGCCCCCATCACCCCCACCATCACCCCAGCCCCCATCACCCCCGCCATCACCCCAACCCCCATCACCCCCACCATCACCCCAGCCCCCATCACCCCCACCATCGCCCCGTCCTCCACTCCCACCGTTACCCCAGCCGCCACCCCCCCCGCCATCACCCAAGCCCCCATCACCCAAGCCCCCATCACCCCAACCCCCATCCCCCCCACCATCACCCCAGCCCCCATCACCCCCACCATCGCCCCGTCCTCCACTCCCACCGTTACCCCAGCCGCCACCACCCCCGCCATCACCCAAGCCCTCACCACCCCCACCATCACCCCAGCCCCCATCACCCCAGCCCCCATCACCCCCACCATCACCCCGTCCTCCACTCCCGCCGTTACCCCAGCCGCCACCA